TCCACTGCATCTAGGCTGTCCAACCCAAGATCATCAGCAAAACGAGATTCCGGCGTTACCTGAATAGCATATATATATATAATAAAATATAAATTGGATGCGTGGAAGTTTATATTTACATTAATGGGAATCAAAATGCTATACAACATTCAAAGTAGGTCATTATTTATAGATTATATTAATTTGGATGGAAATCAAATATAATATTCACTATCAAGATGAACAACTACCTTTTCTGGATCAACTTTATCAAAATCTTTTAATATCTGCACAACTCTCGCTTCAATGTCTTGCCGAGAAAGCGCACTTCCAGCCGAGTAAAACCTGTATTGGTCAATCGCGAAATTTACACGTAACTCAAGTATGGATTTCTTTATTTCAGGTCGTTGTTGTCGGTAATTTTTGGAGGTGTTGTGAAAAATGGAGAAACCTGCTGGTCGAAGTCGTAACAGAGAGCTACTGAAAGCTTTTACTGGCATTTTTTTATGGGGTTGATTTTTGAATCTCACTGCTCGGGTAGACTATTTTTTTAAGATTTTATTCACGTGACACGCCGTATCTCCATAAAAAAAAAATGGCAAAAAACATTGATTTTCCGTCGTCTTCTGTCTCATTAACAGATTTTGGTTTAGGATACAACATAATATATAATAAAATGGATCCATCACATTCGATACTATGTATGTATATATGTGTATATATATATAAAATATATAAATAATATATTTTTTGAACACACTACTAACTGATGATGATAGAAGAAATGTTCCTTTTTTCTCATTGTTGATTTCACAACTATTAAAAGCCACAACTTAACTCTACAACTACAAATGCAGTACTAATCATAAGAGAAGATAATGAAAATTCAAAGATACATACATACAATGATTTGATTGTTTTAAGGATACATTGAGAAAAAGGCAGTGTGATATTATCAACAAATATCGGTCGGCGGTATCACCCTTCCCTCTTTGCCTGCACCTCTCTCTCGGGGTGTGAATTTGATCTATTATTATTATTATTGAATATATATTTTTTAATCCTGGTGAAAAAGATTATTATGTATAAGAAATCCATCATTACCACCACCTCTACTACACACACACCACTAAAAACTAGCAAATGCAAAAGAGAAAGAGTAATCTATATATATATATTTTCATATCCCATTATGAAAGAGGGAGAAAGAGGAGAGAGTTTATATAACAAAAGGAGGAAATTGAAGAGAGCGAGTGATTGAAAATTAATGTCCATAGCATACAAAACAATTTATTAATATGTGCGTTGATTTGTATTTTTTGTGCGTGTGGGGGCTTTTGTTTTTTAATACCATCCGCCACTTCCAGACGACGGGTCTTCTCTCTTGACTCGGAACGAGTTGACATTATATCCGGTTTGTGCCTGATTCTTAGTTTGACTACGAAGGCTATAGTGATCATTACGATAAGAAAGATAAAGTTTAATCAATTGGATAAATTCGAGATCAGAGAATAGCAAAAACAAATATGACCAAACTTACAGTCGATCGGAACCCGCTGCCACTCGAGCATTATCTAACGGAGCTGCATTTGTCTCTTGACCAATTGCCATTTTACGCCTTGGAACGGATGTTAATCTTGAATTTCCCCCAGATACAACTTGAGCGGGTGATGTTGCCGATGGCCGTGAGGAACTAATCGGAGGATTACCATGAATTGGTCCCTTATTAGGACGGCGCATCGAGGGAGCTGGATCATTAGGAATTGCTGCGTTAGCCTGTCGAGAAGATGATGGCACACGTTTACTATCTTTTCGATCATCTTCACCTTGCTCATTTGGTGTTTCATCAGCGATTGCCATTTGCGCGTGTTGACTTTTACCTTCTTTATCCTGATTCGATACAAAAAAAAAGGTTATTAATAGCACATGGTGAAGAGCGGACAAACTAAAAATTTATAAATCGTTTCTTACATATTTGAAAATCGTCCAGTCAAACACATAATCGTATTGGAATCCTTCACGAACAAACAAATCTCTGAATAATTTTCTTAAATAACTATAGTCCGGCTTATCGTCGAACCGAAGCGAACGTGTGTAATTCAAGTAGATGGCGAATTCATTTGGGAATCCACGACACAAAAGTTCTGTCGGCGTGGTCATCTTTTTCTCCATGATGCGATCATATTTTTGTTTTTTGGTGGCAGCTTTTAGACCTTGCCATGGAAGTGAACCACGGCAGAAATACATCATTACGTACCCAAGGGATTCAAGATCATCACGACGGGATTGTTCTTTAATAAAGAATTGCGAGAAATCATCAAATCATAATTGAAACATGATAGAATACAAAAAAAAATCATCGACATAAAGATGGTTTTCATACGAACCGACTCCCAAGTGAGTATTGATACTTGCGTATCGAGCTGTGCCTGTCAAGTTCTTATTTTCTCTGTATGGGATATGCAAATGTGTCTTTGGATCACGATATTTCTTCGCGAGACCGAAATCAATTACGTTAACCTGATTTCCACGTTTGCCAATACCCATCAAGAAGTTGTCTGGCTTAATATCCCGATGAATGAAATTCTTGGAGTGAATATATTCAATGCGAGATATCTATGATTACCATGTCACAATCGATAATATAAT